TATGTTTTGTTAAAATAAATTATTATTAATTATTTACTTACTAACCAGTTAGCGCTCGATGTTGTATATATGAACTTGGGCAATTTCATATGGGAGTCTTCAGTCCGAAAAGGGATATCTATGTGGCCCATGTAACATCCTACAATATATTGACTATGAAAGCTAATGTTTGGTAAATGTGAGTAAATAAGTAATATCCTCTTACACAGTAAATAAGTAAGTAATATCATGGTAAATGTGAGTGAAATTTCACTTTGGGTTACTACATATCTTCGATTCCCATCTTCCCCTATATTCAAGGTTCTAGGAACGGGGGCATCTTGGGTTTGAGCTTTTCTTTCCGGGCCTTTTGGCCTTCTTAGCTATCAACAAAAAATATCACTTTGATTTGATCTATAACTTTCACAATGTTAGAGTAAACGATTCAACCATTTAATAAGTTAGCCAAGTTGATAGAAACAACATAGCCAAACGAAATATATATGTACAGAGATGCATTTGAGGGTAAGACTCATTATGTCTCCCCTACTAGGTGTATATTTTTATATTTATTAATGAGATTCACTCACAACATTGAGTTTTTAATGTAAATTTCGCCTAGCCGAATTTCGAATCCTGGATCCGTTACTGCTCCTAAGTTCCTCCTCCACATACGACATGGCCTCTTTACAAAAAGACACTTATTTTCTTTTTTCTTTCAACTCTTACTCAAGTCCTGGTTTTAACTCAAGTCACTCTCTTTTTCTCCGACCATTGGCCACATAAATCTCCAAGCACCGACAACGTAAATCTCTGGCGAACTTCTTCCACTATTTGATTAATTCTTTTGGGATGGTTAGTCCAACAACATTTTTTTCATTTCTCTTATGCCGCCAATTAGTGGTGGAGCCAAAATTGATTTTAGTGTGGCCAAATGAAGTAGCCAGCTAAGCTCTTTAAAGTTTTATCATTATCACTACATTTCAGTCCAGTTGGCCTAATTTCTTCCCTGTCGTTGTGACAGATGGGTGCTGTGCTGTCTTGTGGTACAGAAATAAATGATAAAAATGACTGGTTAACTGAAATGCCTACTTGGTCCCATCATATTAAAGACTTCGTTATTCATGTCTGCTACAAGATGGCAAATCCTTGTGTACACGCCTACTATGGTATAAAGCTAGTTTTCCCTAGGACATGGGAGATTAGCTGGCAAATGCGGGAAGGATAAAAAAAAAATTGTGCTAACAACAGTCGTCAACACATTGATGGGTTGTAAGATTCACTTAAGCCTTTAATGATGAGCTCTTAAACTATCAAGGATTCTAGGGCTCAAGATTTTATCAGATACTCCCGTTTGGAAATCCAAGGCCCATCCAACCACAACCATATACCACTATAAGATAAAAGGTCAATAGTGACCAATTTCCTTGTGACCACATTAATAATGGTCCCAAATATAGTGACTTTAACGACCAATAATACTACATGATCTGTAAATTGATTAAGACATATTTTTTTTATTTTTTAATGACTAAATTTTCCTACCAGTATTTAAATTAGTCACTAAAAACAACTTAAATAATAAGTTAGTGACCAACACATATGCCAAGCTAGCCTTACTTATGTTATTTAATACATCAGTGCAGGGCTCGTCAATGGGCCAGGCCGGGCTAGCCTGGCTTGAATTTAATGGGCTTGGGCATGGCTGGGCTGAGCTTCAAAGAGAAGAGAGAAAATAACAAGCCGGGCCATGCTGGGTTTTTTAAGAAAATTCAAAGCCTAGGCCCGACTCATGGGCCGAGCTAAGCCCAACGGGCTGGGTCGAAATGGGCTTACTTCATTCAAAAAGAAGAAGAAGAAGAGGAGAAAGAAACAATGTGTCATTCAAAAAGAGGCACTCAACTGCATCATAATTAGACTGTAACACGTTTTAAGAAACAATTTTAAAAAATAATAAGTATCAAAAAAATATTTTTTTAAAAAAGATGGTATGAATAAATATGCAAATGCTTACTGATGGGTTCAAGAAAAGCATGATTATATTTGGTGGTATGATTATGTTTAGTGATATGATATATTGTTTGTCTTATTCTTGATTTATATAATTATTGTATTAATAATTAACACAAATTAATTGTGCTAATCATCCAATTATAAACTAAGAATGAGTAAAGAAAAGTAAATGAAATGAAACGAAACAAGAAACCCAAAATAAACACAAATATCAATTTCTATCACCACTGTATCGACACTGTATCACCATGGTAACACTAATTTATCACGTTTTAGGCAGAGACAAATGATGGACTTCCTCTGATTTTCAGTTTCGACATCTATCCAGTTTTTTACCTATAACTTTTCAACCATGTATGCAAATTTTGTGTTCTTTATATGGTTGGATTCAGCATAGAAAAATGAAGAACACAGCGCAGACCAAATGTAAAAAATGGATACAAAAATTAGCAGAATTCAGTGGAAACAAACACAACGTTTCAAAACAAGTAACACACACACACATACACACACACAAATGAAAGAGGGGGTTTGTGATTCAAGTGATATAATCCTAATCCTAAACCCTTATTTATACATAATTATATATGTATGCGGGCCTAATGGGCCGAGCTTTTGTGGGCGGGTTGGTCCGGGCCTATGGGTCCGGCTAGGCTTCAGACACCCAAGCTCAAGCTCAGCCCAGCCCAATACGGGCCGTGCCATCCCAAAGCGGGCCGGGCCTTCCCAAAGCCCATAACGGGCCTGTCCGGGCTATTTCTCAATGGGCCAGGTAGGCCTTATCGGCCCATGAACCCATGGGCCAAATGATAAAGCCTACATCAGTGACCAATTAACTTTTTTTGAACTTTATTTTTTGTTTTCAAAACACACGTATTTTGAGCGAGAAGAGCGAAAGCATCTAAAAGAAAAAAGAAAAAGACGAGTGAGCTCAGAATGAGACCAAAGTGACCAGAGAGAGCGATACCGTTTTCTTTGACGAGCGAGACTAGAGAGAGCTTAGAGCGAGACCTGCAATATCGTCTTCTTCGACGAGCGAGACCAGCGAGACCAAAGAGAGCTATATATAACGTCTTCTTCAATGAGCGTCCTCCTCTTCGTCTCTGTCGTTTCGATTTCTAAGTTTTCTCCCAATATCATGTGAGCTTTCTATTTCTCTTTGCTTTCAATATTAGTTTTGATTTCATTTGAGTTTGATTTTAGTACAATTGTAACTCTGAGTTTGATTCTCTATTCCCTAATTCCCTAGTTCTCTAGGTTTGATTTGATAAATAAAGGCTTTAAGCAAAACTTTGTGTCCTTAAATCAGCTAGGTTTTCTTTTGGTACTCAAGCAGAGCTTGATTTTAGGTTCAATTTTGATTTCAGTTTTGATTATTGCATTTTTTTTTTAATCTACTGCTTGTTGTGAATTTCAGTTTGCAGCGGACATGTTTTGATATAAACAATGCATGTCCTGATTAGACTATTATATATTGCGTTGAATTTCACAATCCATTGATTTTCTGACCAATTTTGTTTGCTTTAGGCTAGTTTGATACTTCTACATGTAAGACCATGAAACCCATATTTAGACTAATCACCACTACTTTCTTTTTTTCTTTCATTTTTGGGTTTGATTAGCTATGGATAGGAGTTGGATTCATATGCACACTAGGGGAAAAAACACAGTATATTCATGGGGTTAAAGAGTTCATTAATCTCGCAATTGGGCACATGAAACCAGGGATCACTGAAATGTTATGCCCATGTAATAGATGCAACAACTTGCTTTATAGATCTCCACATCAAGTTGAGGACCATTTATATGCAAATGGAATGGTTTTGGACTACGGTAAATGGATATTTCATGGAGAAGAAGAGAGTGATGATGATTTAGAGGAAGAGGAAAGTGAAGAGGAAGTTGATCAGGTATTTGAAATGCTACACGACTTCCAAGAAAATAGGTTTGGGGATGATGGGGAATCACAAGATCATGTTTGAAGAAGCAAATAGTTTTACAAAATTGTTGAGTGATGCAGAGCAAGAATTGTATCATGGTTGTAGGAATTTCTCCACACAAAAAAAAAATTCTATTTTACCCTAACATATATCATTCAGATGTTACTTTTGTGGATAAATTGAAGTTGAAATTTAACAAACTTACGCTATAATTTGTAAATTACAACCATTAGTATACTATAAGTATTAAATCACGACAAACTGAAGCTTTAAGGAGAAAATAAGAACTTTTTCTCAACTACAAGTCTACAACGATTGAATTCAAAATCTGACATTTTGATTAGACAACACTATACGATCCAACAAATTTAGTTGATCTAGTGCAGATGCGAACTACTCTTTCTACTTGTACAATGTGGCCATGTCATGTAACGTGCCAAAAAAGAAAGACTGCTCACCAATGCTAAATGCTTTTTTTGGGTAAATAGCAAACTAAAGAAAGACCACGCCATCTTTTTCATTTTATGCACGTTCTGCATGTGAGCAAAGACCTTACACATGCTATGCATGTGTGAGTGAAGTAGTTAATTTATGAGTAAGAAAAAGTGGTGCTGTTTGTGGTACATCATCCTCGTCCTCCTCCTCGTCACTGTGATAGCCATCACTGTCATCATCATTCTCTTCCAAAAAAGATATTTTGCGTTTGATGGATCAAGAAGACTTCGTTATTTGTTAGCGGAAACGTGTGATTGATTGAACCTTAAAAACCTAAACCTTGAAATAGGATGATAGTGCATCCGTTTCAGATTTTAGGACAATTTTAGAGTATTAAATTGAAATTAACTCAAAATAAATTAAAGAAAAAAATGGCCATGATAGAACGAGATGTGGTCTTGTGACATTATATTATTTGTTGTGATGGACATCAACAATTGTTGAATTAGAAAAAAAAACAAAAGCAAAAATAAAAACGGAAACTCATCATGAATCATAACTTTGGACATAAGATAAAAATTTCAGTATGCATATATGCCTCCAAATAAAAGAGAGAAACATGCAACAAATGGAAGTGATGTGTGATATAAACTACATTTCAGCAACTTCAGGTTCCATTTGGCTAATTACTTTATTTTGGTTATGAACGACTGAAGCTAAGCTAATTTCTTCATTGTCGTTGTTGTGAGTATGGTTTCTGAGGAAACTAGCAAACCATCCTGCAGAAAGCTTTGGAGTTCGCTCAAGTGTTTCCCGATCAACATAATATAAGCCAAATCTTTTGGTGTATCCATTGAGCCATTCAAAATTATCCATCACGGACCAAACGAAGTATCCACGTACATCAGCACCACTTCTGTCAATTAAAATCAGAAAATTAATATTCCACGTTTATATTATATATATATATCATTGCTTTGAGGAATATCGAAGAGACTCAAATTAATTGTTTGTCAAAAACCTTATTGCTCTGGCTAAAGAGGCAAGGTAAGATTTGTGAAAGTTGATCCGATCCCTGTCTTCTAGTTCATTCTCTTGTGTTTGTAAAGTGCATCCTGCCACATAGTTGAAACAAAAAAAAAATGTTCGATATATGAATCTGTTTACAATCAATGAAATAAACAAGTTGTGCCATCCACTAACCATTTTCAGTCACAAACATGGGCATGTTATTGTATCTTTGCTTAACATAGTCAATGATCTTCTCCATGCCTCTTGGAACAACAAAGAAATCATCCAGTCCAGTCTACATGTGAAAGACAACACACGAGTTGACCTTGTTAACTAATATAGAAAGGAAACCAAAAACCAGTTAGGCAACAAAGATCATGTTCTCAGACTATCGATCTAAACTATAGATCGTATAAGTTGATAGTCTTGTAACATATTATGTCAGACTGTTTTATGATATAACAATATAGTATGTTTTATATACCGGTTCTCCAATTGGAACCCCATCTCGATACCCAGTTGTGTTGAGAAATCCCATGATGGGACGGTCACCCCCAGAGGGGCAAGGAGAGTGAATACAGTCCTTGACATATAGAGTTGAATAGTGGTTGACACCGATAAAATCTATGCTTCCTCTCAAAAGCTGTTTCTCTTTGGCTGAAAACCTTGGTAACTCCAAGCCATGGCAATGGCGCATTTCAGCGGGGTAATCTCCATACACTACAGGATCAAATGTCCTGTTTAGAAAAAGAAAAAGAAAATAGTCACGTACGTACTTTTTGCATACGATTTGTGTACTCCTTGTACACTTCTATTGTATAAACAGTAAATAGAATACACAAAACTAAAGACCTGTAGTATAATTTGTGTACTCTTTGTACACTTCTATTCTCAAATTCACACAATTTATTATAACACTTGTGATAGGTTTAAGATTCATCATTTAGAATTTACAGTTTTGATTTTAATAAATATACGTGTTATAATTTGGATAAATTTGTAACAATATCTCATGACATGATCTTTACCATCGTACCAAATTTTAAACAAAATTTTAAGAGGGATTTGGATTTTAACATGACGCCTAACAACTACAATATCTGTATGGGGCAGGTGAATCTGATCCACTTGATGAAAGTTAGACATGTTAAAAATCTGAAGATGTTTTGTGGGTTCCATACCATGAGGCTTTTGCTTTTCTTTGAACATTTACACGAGTCTTGGAAAATGCCTACCAGCGAAGAAATGGCGGATCTCAAGATTATGAAGCTACATTTTTTATTAAATTAGTGAGGTTAAAGTATGCAGCAAGTCATGTAAAACCTACTGACAAATTGAAAATAAATAACCTATAATTATTATTTTGTTGCATAACTAATACACTTGACTATAATTTTTTCTTTTAAAAATTCAATTTGTGTATGATTTCTTTATACAATAAATTTGTCACAAGTTTCATTAGTTTATATGGAGCACCATTTCTTTCTTTTTTAATTCTATAATAATTGTTCGGATTGGTTTAAATAATATTTTATTCATGGTGGTCGTTATTTAAAAAAAGTATTTTCCTAGTGGACTTAAAAAATAAAACTTTTTCAATAAAGTATTAAGATTTAAGGGACTCGTGAAACGTATGATTACTAATAAATTATGGCTAAACAAAATTGAAGAAGCACTTACCAGGCCACATTGAAAGCTAAGGCTCTATCAACAGCATCCCGATCCCTTTCTTCATCCCTAAGCGGTTCATACATGAATGCATGCGCAACAATTCCTACAAACCCATTTTGTTTCGGCTGTAACATTAATTAAGTAGTTAAGCAGATATGGGATTAGCCAAGTTGTATAGAGAGGATGTGCTCATCACTCTATACCCGAGTTTGAATTCTCCTTCTCATCATTTAGATTAGTTTAAACTAAATTATCGCTTGTATCATCAAAAATCAAGTAGTTAAGAGTTTGATAAAGAAAAAAAATACCTACCCAGAAAAAAGTACGATAAATTTCAACGGCCATAGCATGTGCTATTAGCATGTTGTGCATTCCAATAAGAGGCTCAATGTCAGAATTGCCAGTGGAACAATTGCCAAATGGTGGAGAACAACGAGCCGGTGGATATAGTCCTCTGAGATAGGCAAAATCAGCCACCATATTGGGCTCATTTATGGTAACCCAGTGCTTTACCCTATCTCCAAAACTCTCAAAGCATATGGAGGCAAAATGTACAAACTCTTCCCTGCACCAACAATGAAAGAATGAACTCTTGAGAACTCCTAAAAGCTTGACATAGTTATATCACTTATCATAGCAGAGAATGCCGCAATGAATATTGCTATTTGAACCACACTTACGGATCACTGATATATGAATCTGATTAGTAGACGTTGTGCAAATAGTTTTACTTGTACCTTAATAGCGGACTGAGCCAACCCCCGTCCCTTTGTTCTAACTTTAAGGTGTATGAAGTTTCATATTTGATTCAAGCAGGGCGATAGAAACTCCATTTAACTTAAGTTGATCTAGGCCAGAAGCAGACCTACGTCAGGATACCCCTTCTTTGAAACACTTTGGTAGTGCTCCTGGATGAATCCACATAATGAATCAGAGCACATGGAGCCATCCTTTTATCTTTCTGTCAATAAAAAATATGGTAGACTAGCCGATATTTATATTAGTTAATGAAAGAGCCCAATGCAAAAAAATGCACGTTGGGTCTTTGAAACAGTTCAAATCATTTTGATAATAATAAGTTTGATCTGTTTTACCGAGAAGGTCTACGGTTCGAGTCCGTATAGCCCTAAAACCTAAAAATTAAAATAAAAAACGAAAAGAAAATAAAAATATGATATTATATAATAAAAAATATGATATTATATAATAAAAAATAAAATTTACTAATAAATATATATATTATTATATAGATAATATGTATAATATATATAATTTATAATATAGATTTTATATATTTTTATTTTCTATTTCTAATATAATATATAGTATATTATTATATATTATATAGTATTATATTATTTATATAGTATTATATTATATAGTATATAGAAGAAAATTCTATAGAATTATAAATTCTAAACAAAAAATGAGATTTTATATTTGTAATTCGTTTTCTTTAGTTCTTTAGAAAAAATCTGAAGTGCGGCGAAAACGAGAGAGTCTTGTTTGTATAAAATCAATATATACTTATATTTATTATATCTAAATTATATCTAAATACAAAGTAATAGAAATAAAATAGAATTACAGTGGATGAATCTTGAAACAAGACATGTACCGTAGCAAACAAATGAAACTAGGCGGTTCGATCAAAATAAATTGTTGTTTTGACTACAGTTATGGATAATTTTACAATTAATTCGAATCGACTAATCCGGTATATTTTCCACATTAATAGGAGTACGTCTATGTTTCTGCTTTACGAATATGATTTTTTCTGGGCATTTCTGATAGTATCAAGTGTTATTCCAATTTTGGCATTTCTAATTTCCGGAGTTTTAGCCCCGATTAGCAAAGGACCAGAAAAACTTTCGAGTTATGAATCGGGCATAGAACCAATGGGGGATGCTTGGTTACAATTTCGAATCCGTTATTATATGTTTGCTCTAGTTTTTGTTGTTTTTGATGTTGAAACGGTTTTTCTTTATCCATGGGCAATGAGTTTCGATGTATTGGGAGTATCCGCATTAATTTGGTGAGTACAAAGATCTATGAAAAGTTACAGAAAAAAAAAAGCTTTGTAGTAAATAATATTTAGTGTTACCTGGAATTTGGGTGAAAAAATCCCAGTTGCTTAAGCCCTTACCATCTTCAAGATAAGCACCTTCAACCTTAAAAATTTGAAAGAAAGCCAATTCAAAGTTCAGATAGTTGCAGAAATAAAGAAAGAGTTTGAAGAGAAGAAGAAGAGGAAAATGCCTGATAAGATGAAGTGGATGCACCAAAGAAGAAGTCATCTGGGAATTGAGACCTTTGGACTTGTTCTTCATCTTGTTTGAAGCTTTGAGCGAAAAAAACAGAGAAAATGAAGAAAACGGAGGACAAGTACAAGAAAAAGAGGTTGCCTCCCCTTAGCTCCATTTGGTTGGTTTCGATTTTCGTGATATCAAGTTGGTATATATATGAACATTTGGGTATGGCAAGAACTTTATTATTATTATTATTATTTTATACAAGTGATATTGGGGGAGAGGGAGTTTTCTTAGGACCATGTTTGGCTCTTGAGTTCCTCCTACACATAAAATTTACAAAAAGACACATGTTTTCTTTTTTCTTTCAACTCTTTTAACTCAAGTCCTGGTTTTAACTCAGGCCACCCTCTTTCTCTCAAAGAGACCTTTTCTTTTGACAACCACCTAACTCTGATAACCGACGACGTAAACTTTCGACCATCGCCACATAAATCTCCAAGCACCGACAACGTAAATCTTTAACGAACTTCTTCCACCATTTGATTAATTTTTTTGAGATGGTTAGTCCAATAACATTGTTTCCATTTTTTTTATGCCCCCAATTAGTGGTGGAGCCCAAAATTTATTTGTGTGGCCAAATGAAGTAACTAGCTAAGCTCTTTAAGAATTATTTTGGCCAAAAGTATTACAAGTTTTATCATTATCACTACATTTCAGCAACTTTAGCTTCCAGTTGGCCCTTTTTTTTTTTGGGTCTGAGCTTCCAGTTGGCCTAGTTCTCTTCCCTGTCGTTATGACAGATAGGTGATGTCTTATGGTACAGAAATAAATGATAAAAATGACTTTTAACTGAAATGTCTTTTTTCTGGTTTAAAATTGAAGTCCCAAAAGATGAACATTAAAGAAAGTCCCATCATATTTGTTTGGGTCTGGTTGAAATTTGATCGGGTCAAGCCCAAGATTCGACAATTGAACTAATAATGAGCCCAAGTTATATTTTAGTAGGCCTAATCAATAAGGTCGGATAAAAGTCCAAAATCATAAATGTGGCACAATATCTATTTGTGGTCAGATCATAGTCTAAAATATCGATAATATCGACAAAATATCAAGGATATTATCCTTTTTTTGGGTCACGGATATTTCGGAATATATCCATACACATATCGTATAAATATCAATAATATCGAAAAATATAGATGTCGATAATTTCGCTCACACTTTAGTAATATTTTGTCAAAATATCACTATAATATCGCTATGATATTGAAAATATCAAAAAATATTGATGTAATGGGAAAAAAAAAACACACAAAGCACACGCAAAGGAGATTCAAACCCTTGCCATTTCACTCCTCCAACGCCTTAACCATCATGTTGCTTATGTTTTTGTGATTATATACTAAAATTTGTATACTTATATTGTTTTGTTTTGAAATGTTTTTCCAAGAATTAGATTTTCACATGAGTTTGTGAGTCTTTGACCTTTCCTTTTGGGATGGAATCGAGCAGCTCATGGAAAGAATCTAAGACCCAATCTTCAAATGATTTTGCTTATTGACACGTCAACCAATCTCGGATCCATATGGGTGGCATGTTAACAATTACATTGAAAACTATTTTGGGGATTTATCATTTGATGACTACTCACAATACACTTACTCTACACATAGAGATTATGAAGATACTGAAAATTTTGAACCTCAAACCAAATCAAGTGGTCCAATCTCAAACCAAGTCAAGTGGAAACCCAAAGGTCTAGCCAAAACAACGATATTGTCATTTATAATAGCAATAACCAAATAATAAATAAATTGAATGACAAAACCTACAAGCTTGGCTTGGGGTTAGCCAAGGGGTCAAAGGGACGTAGGATTCTCACCATCCATCTTGTGGAAAAAAGCAACCAAGTCTTTTGGTCTTCTTGGATTTCTACATTCTAGTCAAGAATCAAGGTCATCTGCAAGAAATGACATATAAATAATTGACAAAGAGATAAGAGTGGAATAAAGAAATAGGAAAAAATTGGGGTTGAGATAGGAGAAGCCATTGTTGAACTCCACCTTCAATATGTTGTGGTTGGGACACAACCCATCTCTTGGGTACTGAAATTACACAAATCTTGTGGCTGGATTAGAATGGCATGGCAGCTGAAGCTTTTGAAAGTGTGAGAGGAGTTTGTTGAAGGAGGTTTGAAGACCCAATAAAAGTATTACATAGAAGTAAGATTTGCTTATTTCTATATATATATATATATATATATATATTACTATAAACAAAATGGCCAAAAGAATGGCCTTTTGAGTTGGCTGGATAATGGAGAACAAGTCAAGGACTTGGCTGGGAGAAGAGGTCCAAGACTTGGCTGGGAGAATGGCCAAGGAGTTGCCTGGAAGAAGTCGGAAGTTTGTTGAGGTAAGAAAACCCACGGAGGTCACTTTGATCATTTCAAGGTGGGCAAGAGTTTGGAAGCCAAAGATGGTCCTTATATCTTTGGGTAATGGTTTTGTGACATGAGAATCAGGCACGGATCCACATAGTGGGCTGTCTGGGCTATAACCCATACGAATATTTTTTTGTATTTGTAATACCATGTATAAAAAATTTTTATAAAAAAAAAACTTAACGGAGATAGCCTATCCCAAAGCTGCAAGAAGAAAGAACAGAGAGATGGAGCAGACGGAGAGAGAAGAAAGAAAAGAAGAAGAAAGGAAGAAGGAAACAGAATAAAGAAAGAGGGAGAGGGAGAGGGAGAAAGAGAGGAAAAAACAAAAAAAAGGAGAGACGATAAAATATAATGAAAAAGAGAGAGGAGGGAGATATGTTTTGGGATGAGATGTGTTTTTATTTTGTTAGGTGCATTGCACCACAAAATGGGATGTTTTTATTTTATTATTACTTTCTTTTTTAACTTCAATTCCTTATAAATATCTTCTTCTTTCTTTCTTTTTTTCTTTCTTTGTTTCCCTTCAATCCTTTCCAAATATTTCAACAATATTATCAATAATTTCAACATTTTCTCTATTTCAAATGTCGTATAATGACAAAAAGTTCTAAATACGATGAACAAAATGTACTTAAAAAAAAAGTGCTTATATAAAATAAAAATATAACAAACTAGGGCTTATGATTTACCCAAAAAAATTTTAGCCAACCCTATGGGTTACCTCTAGTTTTTAGTTCCTAAAATCTATTGTCCAAACCTAAATATCTACAAAAACCAACCAAAATCTACAAAACTCACCAAATTTTCTTAATACATTTGTACTTAAGGTAAATTTAGCCCACCCGATTTGCAATTCCTAGATCCGTCCCTGCTGAGAATGCTCTAAGTTCAAAATGATAGAAGTAGTGTCTAGGACCGACCCACCTTATGAGAATAATTCAAAAGCTCTTTGTAGCCTAGTCACTCGCTCCAACCAAAAACAATGGCCAAATTGGATGATTATCAAATCAAGAACATATATATGTATATTAAGTAAAGAAGAAATCTTATGGCCTATGCGTTATTAATAAGCCTTTCTTGGCTTACATATATAATTATTAATTATTATATATGCAGTTTTATCAAAATTGGTATATTAAATGTTTTCTGAAAAAAGATATTGTGGGCTTGTCACGAGTTAGTCATATTTAAAGGAAGCTCACACAATTCATTGGGCTCTCATGCCTCCCCAACATCGGTGGAT